AACTCTGAAAGCATTTTTCCCCAAAGTGCCATTTATTGCCCTCACAGTAACTGCTCCACCTACCATGTTGAAAAGACTGAAACAGAGTTTGTCTTTAAAAAGTGACTGCAAAATTGTCTCTGCAAACCCCAATCGAGCCAATATATACCTTGAAAAAAAATTACGATTGAGTAACCATCACTCATATGGAAGTTATGACCAGATCCTTGTACCCATTGCAAACAACCTGGCTATACAAAGAGAAAACTACCCAGTGACAATTGTCTACTTGAAACTGAAATATTGTGGCTATGCGTATCGGTTATTTGAGGGAATATTAAAAGACAAGCAGTATTCAGGGAATATCAGTGATCCGGTTGCAAGGTTGTTTGCCCAGTTTCATGGTCCTCAAACAAAGCGTATGAAGAAGGACATAATCCATGAGATAGGAAAAGAAAACTCAAGAATAAGAGTGATATTTGCCACCTCAGCTCTTGGTATGGGTGTTGATGCACCTTATGTTACCAGAATTATACACATCACACCTCCTGCTACAGTTGAATCTTATGTGCAGGAAATTGGGCGTGCTGGCAGAATAGGACTGTTATCCAGAGCAATTCTGTATTACAATAACTCTGACAATGCAAATAATAAGAAACATGTCCAGGATGAAATGAAAACTTACTGTCAATCGCAACAGATATGTCTTCGACAGCAAATTTTGCAATATTTAGGATTCTCCAAAGTGACACAAGAAAAATGTTGTTCTGTATGTGAGGGTGTTAGTGGCAAAGTTTTCAGCGATGTGAATGAAGACCAGAAACCTACCAAAAAGTTTAGAATGCTTGCAATTACTAACAGGGCCATCTTGGAAGAAAAAATTTATTGTGAAGTTTTAAATAAGAACCAAGTAAAATCTGAAATGCTTTCTATCCCTTCCATTGAAGTGGATGTTGTAGACAAGATGATGGAAGGAATTGAGTATATAGAGACAGAATCAGACTTATTACTAACATATGGCATATGGGACGAAGACATATCTTCTAAGATATTTGGTTTGATATCTACATATGCTCCACTTATTTAATTATAAGTCTCAATTGAATCAGTGTGGTACTTAACAGTGTGAATAGACTCTCTGAGAAAGCACAAGTTGTGAGATTTTTAATGTGTAAGTAGCCTTTTTCCTTCTAGGGGTGTAAGTGCAATTAGCTGGTGGATTGAAATAGAATGTGCTGTGCCATGCTTTAATATTTAAGGTCTTTAAGGCCATGTCATGGGACAAATTTTGCTGCAACTTGCAACACAATTTTGTTTGTTCACAGAGAAATTGAATCTCGTTTTACTTTGCCGATATCCGTTTCTTGATAAACATGGCCAAAAGCCGACAAAGAAATGTAGGAAACGCGTGTCACGTACATAGTACATGACACGCGTTTCATAACTCTCGACATGAAACGCGTGTCATGTACATAGTGTTTATGTGACATGAGTCTGTGTAGCAATAACATAAGGCTGTGCATAAATTGCGTTGAATTGAGTTGCAGCTAAATTTGGCTCGTGTAACATGGCCGTTAGTACATAGCTTTAATATCTGGGCACCTGTGCGTACTTTAGGTAACCTGGAACAGTTTCAAAAATGCAGCTTTTGGCCGGAACGATGGTACGGCATGGGGGAAATGCGAACATAAGGGCTGTCGAAAAAAAGTTTGCTGTCACATTTTACATAGATAGGATTTCGATTACCATTGAGCTATTCTTTTTCCAGTGTCTCTTGTTAGTTGTATTTAGTTCTTGAGCTCGGTTGGTAGATTGCTAACACCCGAGCTGTAGGGGACACATGTTCTGTTTTTGTGACAAGGGCCTATATATACAGGGACAGTGTAATATCTAAAAGGGATGAACAGGTGGGGGTTTGCGAGATAGTTAAACTAATTAAATTAAACTAATAGTTTGCGTTATAATTAGGGTAAAGCCTGGTTCACATATATGCCTGCGATGTTCCGACGACGACGCCGGTGGTAGCTTTAAAACGTAAACTATGTGAACATTTGTTCGCCGAATGCCTCCATGCAGTGCCACAGTTACATCGGTGGTAGGCCGGGAAAGTTGACTTGAGCTCAACTTTGCCGGTATTTCGGCGGCAAGTGGAGGCATAATGGTACAGTCGCAGGTATATGTGAACCAGGCTTATAAGTGTTGAGGAGAGGGTAAGGTTCAGTATTCTTGCACGTGGCTGGTTGTTGACTATTTGACGTTTTATGGATCTCAAAAACTGGTGGTGATCTTGAAAACCTCATTTTAGTCCATCTCCTTTAGCCACGATCCTACGTACAGTTGGCATAGATTTTACGTGGCTGCTCCCGGCTAGGTCTAAAATTTGTATTGTATCATTCTTGCTCATAATTTCCATCTACAACTCAAATGCATGTATCAGATTCAGATCGATTGAACAGAAGTGTCGAAGCCATCTGTAAATGGAAATGTTGTGCGATAACTGTAGAACCATTCAACTGCACAAACGTTCAACAGTATAGTTTAATAATAATAATAATCATTTCATAACTCTTGACAGCTACCAAATTAGTCATTACATTATTAAAGCTTATTGCTTTGTTGCATTCTGTATTTTGTAATACTAACTCCTGTATTCTAAAAGCTCACTCACTAAGCGTGACACACAGGGTGTTAGCCAGGATTTCAAAAGTGGCCGTCCAAAATAATTTTGTGGGCGTGGCAACATATTTTTGTGGGCGTGGTCACATGTTTTTGGGTGTGGCCACAATTTTCTGTTGTTGAGGAATTGTGGTGTTTTATTCGTTGAACCACAGTTAATAGACCTAGAGGTTCAACCTTTCTACTTTTAGTTTTAGATGCACATTTCCGTCATTAAATTAGTAAAAGCACACGTATGGTATGATCACTATCGTAACTGTAACGTGGCGCTCGAGTGATGCTTTTTAAAACGCGGTTTCACATTATTCTCCTTGATACTTCATGTGAGAATAATTAAAATGGTTACAAAAACATGGCGCGTTTTACAGGAATATGGCGCGAAGTACTCAAGGAATATTACAAATCATGTAGGTTGCTTTTTAAAGAAAATATTCCCTTAGGCCGTCCATGGCCATCCATTAAAATTTAGCCGTCCAAATTCAGAAGTGGCCGTCCATAGGACGGTCGGCCGGCCGCCTGGCTAACACCCTGGTGACACAGTAAAATAACTGAGCTCTCGGCCGAGTGGAAATACCGTCATAGAGTGGTTATAAGGTTATTGCGATCTTTCACTCAGTGAGTGTGAGTGAGCTTTTGGAATACAGGCGTTACTGTTTCTGCAATGTTAAATCACCAAATTCCAATATTAATACGTTCATCTATGTATTAATAGTTTCAACTATGTATATTAAGAGCTGGAACTTAAATTCCCAATTAAAAGACAGATGTCAGTTTTACTTTTAGTGTCCATCGCAGCCGTTTCACAGCATTATTTTATGTTTGACAGTTCTTTCTTGTGTTTTTCTAGCCATTGGTGAAATTCTACTACATTTAAATATTTGAGAGGACAGCTTTTGATACTTGGAAAGCTATCATGGCATCTTCCAGGCTCATGGTTGAAAGGATCCAATTGAGTTAGATCTTCGATCATTTCTTTTTCATCTTTGATCGAGTCTCGACTTGTATGTTGCACCGAAACCTTATGAATTCCAGCAGATATGTCAAACTGTTCCGTTATTCGTTGTATACCACTAGTCGCCCTACATACTTTACTGATTGACTGGATGGTTTTATTTGCCCCCTGCCTCTGAACTATACCTTTGCTCACGCGGTTGCTGATTTCCTGTGCTAAATCATCTTCGATGTTTTTTCCCTCACCCCCACACCAGTTAACAAAAAAGCCCCACTTGAACTCTTCAGAGCGACGTGGAGTCAGCAAACATTCAATCTGAGCGATACTTGTGAACATCTCCAATGCATACTTGCTGTACGAGCCCAATGATTTGAACACAGACAATAAAAGTTTTTGATTTATAAGGTTTCGTTCACCGTCTCCTTCTGCTGATGTATCTTTCATTTGAAGAATCAAAATAGTCAGGAAAATGCAACATAATGCATAGTTTCGAATGTAATCATCCTCATCATCGGCAACACTATTGTCATCTTTCTGTAGAAGATATTTATTGATAAACCGGCCGAATACATCATCAAAGTATTTCTTCTTGTTTTCCTCTGTCTCACGAGAAATGTTTGCAGGAAGTTTGTTTATAGTTGGAGCATCATCAGTACTTGACATTCCAAAGAAGTCTAGAGCTGCAGTAACAATGTACGCCCTTCCGACGCTGATGAACAATTCTTCACTGCCTTGTAACGAATCCAGTACTTTGGCTGGGGTCGAATTGCGTCGATTATACCTCTCTCTGAAGAATTTAATAGTGCCTACTTGATTGACAGATTGTGCTTTGTGAAGAAACGAATAGGAGTACTGTAGTAGGGAAGCCCTGGTATGCCACATAACTGGCTTGAACGGGGAGCAGTGCTCAAACCGATCTGATGGGGTGTGGGATCCAGAGAGTAAATCTTTCGCTCCCGCAAATCTGACTCTTGTTAGTTGGTCCCCGGCAAAAGCTATTTTCATTTCTTTCATAGGATCATCAGCAGTATCAACACTATGCGCTTGTGTTTGACCTGGTGCTGCTGGTCCTTCTGGTACTGGAGGGTTTTCAACATCAGGAATTTTCTCCAGCAACCCTGCTTTCACGAAAATTTCTGCGATCCACTTCTCATATGTCCTTAAAATGAGCACACAATCTTCATATTTGGCCTCATTTGCATTAATTATTGGCAGGTTCACGATGGTAGATTTTTGAGCCATTTTATTGCTGTACACATGTGGAATATGGGTAGGAATAACAGACTTTAAGCACTTGAACTTAGGGAAAAACTCCAGGATAATTCTACCCACAATTACTTTCGCAGATTCGGCATACATCTTCCATTCCATCACACTTAAAGAGAAATTGCGGCGAGGGAAATTAGCAATGTTTCCTTTTGGGGTGTTATTTGGCAGGTGATGAAAGTTAACTCTGTTTTCAATGAGATTAGAGGCAAATAGGTGAAGATCTACATTCTGAATGTCTTTCCTCATGTGCCCCGACAATACTCTCAAATCCCAGTTATCACCAGTTCCACGGAAAACACTTCCACTTTTTACCCTTTCCACAACTTTGTCGGAAAAGTGTCCCCCAACAAGCTGAATTAGAGTATCTTTTTTTCCGTGAGACAGACAAACACCAAGTTTATTGAGCCGATTATGAAACTGTATAGAAATAATAAAATTGGAAAAATTATAAATATATATATATATATATATATATATATATATATATATATATATATATATATATATATATATATATATATATATATATATATATATATATATATATATATATATATATATATATATATATATATATATATATATATATATATATATATATATAATGTAAATATATATAGTATACTATACTATAGTAATACATAATCTTGTAAGAAATAAATAAGTGCAAGTAAAACTGATTCTGATTCTACAGGGTGTCTCAAAAAAAATAACGCAATTGAAATTCAACAGGCTGCCGACTAAATAATTAAATTTTACATGGGACGAAAGAGCTGTTATTTAGCTTTTCAAAATCAATTAAAAAGCAACGCGAGTCTGCTGCAAGCTAGTTGTTTCGTAAAACGTTTGATTACGAATGTTCTCTGTTCAGTGGTTAATATATGTAATATTTCAAATCCGACTATGAGGACTGGACTAGATTTCAAGTCCGCGCAATTTGATCAAGTCCGAGGCGAAGTCGAGGACTGGATCAAAATGCGAGGACCTGAAATCTAGTCACCAGTCCTCATAGTCGGATTTGAAATGACATCTCATAGGAATAAATCACTACTTAATTAATTTGATCCAGAGGATCAATATATATACTAGCTTCATCAGCAAATCTTCTTCATGTGAGCAAAATAAGGCAATATGGTTGGCTAATTTACTCATGAATTATTAATGAGTTTGAGATCCATGTTTAATGTCGTTCTTATAGTGACAACTTGAGCTCATAAAAGATTATTTAACATTCAATTTTAATTCGCTCTCGGGAATTGTCTATGTTTCGTTATCCATGCAATTCCGAACGATGGAAGAATGTGATTTCCACAGCCGCAAGTTTTATTTGACGAATATGTGGCCATTTCTTATTGTTGCGATTTAAAAAGAGTATCATTGACATTAGATAGCTTAAGATCTACGACGTCGACGTTAGCTAGGACACAGATGAAGTATATACCAGATGTGTAACTTAATAGTACCTCGTGTCCTCAAATTTCCCTAGATGTACACGTCATGCTCACGCCATGACACTTGCTAGGAAGATGGCGTCCTGAAAAACATGAACTTTTGCATTTTATTGCGGCTTTCTTGGATCGAAATTTATGGATTAAACAATCAAGAGCATCATTTGTTGAATGTTTAAAGTTGTTAAAAGCAATTAAAGTTGCAGAAAAGAAAGGTGTTGAAAACATTTTTGAAGGCAATGACGTACTACCAAATGACGAATAATCACGTGAGCGACACTTGCTAGGAAGATGGCGACCATGGGACAACTTGTTTACTGAAGTTACACATCTGTCCTTACTTAATCTATGGCTAGGACGTCAGGGCTAAGCAGAGGACTGGGACTACATTAGGACGACACCTAGTCCCAGTCCTCTGCATAGCCCTGACGTCCTAGCTGACGTCGACGTCGTAGATCTTAAGCTATCTATTGTCCATTGAAAAGCTAAATAACTGTTCTTTCGCCCTATGTAAAAATGGAATTATTTAGCCACGTTTATGATGCACGACAGCCTGTTGAATTTCCATTGCGTTTTTTTTAGACACCCTGTATATAATATCCCTAGTAATCTATTAGTATTATCCAGTATTTTTCGATAAATGACCTTTTTTAATTTTAGAAAGTGAATGATCAGTGAGCTAGCCGAGAACGCTTTTGACTTATATGAATCTGTGTAAAATAATAAACCAATACGGCAATAGGCAATTCCAGCTTTTAGTTTATGCGTGCAGGGGACGATGGGAAGTAAGGTATCACACAACCTCGTCCCCAGGGTCTTCTTCGTGCATGTCACGCGCCATGCACGAAGAAGACTCTGGGGACGAGGTTGGGTATCACATTGCTGATAATGCTGAAGAAATAAAAATGGTGGCCGTGTAAACATGGACTGATAGCTTATACTTGTAAATATTGAAATATTTCGGTTCTTCGGGTAATTTTTATTGAAATTTTTCAGCATAATCGGCAATACGAATATACGATACCTTAATTCCCATCATCCCCGCAGGCATAAACTAAAAGCTGGAATTGCCTATTGCAAAGCCGGTTGAAAACACCATGTTTAGTCTTAAGCCCGTTTTGCACTTCAAACTAAATCGTATAACTCGTGTTAAGACCCTGTCACACTATTTCGTATCGTAATAGCGTATGCCAGCGTGTGAAAAATGTCACTCATACGCCGGTATACACTGACATACGCTAGGGGTAAGTTGGGCATAGGTTGTTTCAAACACGGTCGCGTACGGTGGCATACGGCGAGGCAGAAAATTTTTTTAAGCATGCTGAAAAATTTTGTGCGTATCGGACGTATGCTTTATATTATAAGCATACTCTAGGCACACGCTGAATACGCTAGATGTACGCCAGATGTTCATGTACGGTACTCATACGCTGGCATTTTAAAGGATTCTTGTGCGTATGAAAATTATTTCATTCATTTTCATACGCTTCTCATACGTTTCTCTCATACGCAATAGTGTGACAGGGCCTTTAGTTCTAGCCGAGTGCTCTGCAGGAAAAAAATAAATACACTACATTTCGGTACGTCATTGTGGAAATGAAAAACAGCTTTTAAAAAGCTTTCGATACGTATACCTCAATTTATAATCAGTCTTGATAAATAAAAACTTTGTTGTCGGCCTCCTCAATTAGCCTTTCTCACGCCGCCATTTTTGGGTGGCTTTTCAGCCAAAGTCTGCGAGATAGGCTAAGTCCACATAAAGGCCCTGTCACACTATTGCGTATCGTACTAGCGTATGACAGCGTATGAAAAATATCACTACGCAGGTATACGCTGACATACGCTAGGGGTACGTTAGGCATAGGTTGTATACGTTTCAAGCACGGTCGCGTACGGTGGCATACGGCGCGGCAGAAAAATTTTTTTAAGCATGCTCAAAAATTTTGTGCGTATCGGACGAATGCTTTATACGATAAGCATACTCTAGGCACACGCTGAATACACTAGAGGTACGCCAGATGTACGGTACTCATACGCTGGCATTTCAAAGGATTTTTGTGCGTATGAAAATTATTTCATTAATTTTCATACGCTTCTCCTACGTTTCTCTCATACTCAATAGTGTGACAGGGCCTTAACAGCGACATTTATAATTTTTTGGACGAATGATGGTAAATTTGCTTTGTAAATGGTTAGTTTATTTTGAAAAATTGCTTTTCAAATTGTTTTAATTGTCTGCATTGGTTAATTTTAACGGGAATTTGATGCCACCCAAAAATGGCGGATATTATTCATCATCATGAGAAAGGCTAATTCACAACATCTCGTTAACACTCCTTGGCACAACAATTGCGTGTAGGAGTAAAAATAAAATCGCAAAGGATTTCAAACGATGTGTGGTTTTCCGGGTTTTAAAACATGTTGTAAATACGCAGATGTTGTAGCCGAATTAAGGTATGTTTCTATGAAATTAAAAAACTCTAGCTCTAGTTACGGTAAATTATTTCAAATATGATTATTACAGTCCAAAGTATAAATACAAAATACTCTATAGACTATCGACAAAAATCTGATTTAAGGCCAAAATGTTTGTTTTATAGACAATACTACAGCTTGCGTGACAAATATAGCCGCATTTTAAGAAGTAATTAGTGAAATCGACAACTTTATAGCGAAATCGACAACTTTGGTGAAATCGACAACTGTTTTTGGGTCTTGATTATACTTGCATTCGCTATGTCAACAAACAAAAAGAAAGTTCTCGCAGGCAAAAAGTTCTCGCAGTGATTTTATATTTTTTATAACCAACTTATTAAGTATATTGATGATCATGTTTTCTACGACGTCTACGCGTATTTTATTTTTCCCGGAAAAATTGTACGAATCTTTATAGGTCTTATATGAATCACTGATTTGGCGTTCGATATGCGCTGCTAAATCATAAGGACAATGTTTGATAGCTATATATATATATATATATATATATATATATATATATATATATATATATATATATATATATATATATATATATATATATATATATATATATATATATATATATATATATATATTGGATTATTGCATGTACGTTTATTGTATATAAAGCCCGGCCTACCATGCAGGACATATTCGGCTTAGAATATTGTCTTATTAAGTTGAAGACTTGACTGAACAACTGCATGCAGCCTGAGATGCAGAATTAAAAATGTATTCATTTTATGGTTCCAGAAATTAAAATATGTTTACACCATCTAAAATACAGATACTAATATAATTATGTACTGTTTAATAAACGAGCAGGAGTGTTTTATTAGGCTTTTATAGATCTAATAAAACACGACCTGCGAGTTTATTGAACGGCTTCAAACATGACTACAAATGCAATAGATTTACTGCCTTATTAGTATTCTTTATATAAAAAATACTGAGGACACAACTACAATAGATACTGCCTTATATATATATATATATATACATATATATATATATATATATATATATATATATATATATATATATATATATATATATATATATATATATA